AAGATGAAATTTTTTATTTTTGATCCGAATTACCCCGAACGACTCTAATTGAGGGTGAGGGTGCCTCTGTCCTATTCGCACGCTCACATTCTCATTATCCCCAGAAACACTTGGCATGCATTTCTCACATGTAATAAACACAGACTGTAATGTGCGCACGAAATCCGTAACGATGGACACACAGGAATAGAAAAGAAAAAACAAACGTGTATCGATGTTTTTCTCTATGCGATCTTGCTGACATGGACAGGTTTTCTTTGTTCGTATGCTGACGTGTTAGAGAAGAATCATATCTGACGCTTGTGACTACGTTATAATTGATACAAACGAGTATAAAAGAGCGAGTCCATGGATTCACTCTCAATCAAAACATCATTGCATATATTTTTTTATTACCTTCAGACAGGGTGTGGGTGTGGGGTGTGGGTGTTGGCTAAAAGAAGAACTACACCCACACCGACAACCAGCCACACCCACTCACACTCACTCCCACATCCACCCACACCCACACCCCACACCCTCACACCCACCCTACCCTAATGTCCGCCTTTGTTTCATAAAATAAAATGCGCATGTGAAATGAGAAGTACATTATCTATTGTTTGTTATATGATCAATATTATTGTATAATTTTCTATCTTTCAACAGTTCTCAATGGCCGCTGTGTTTGTTGAGATTCAAGATATCTTTGAAACTACCATTCTCATTCAGCAAATTTAATGTTCATCAAAATAAGTAGATTAATATCTAGAACAGGGTGTCTTATAATTAGGATTTTGGTGACAGCAGCCTTTCTTTTGTTTAGTAATCATGCAACCCACCAGACCCATCGATATCATCTAATATAGATCGATAAGAATCAGGCACCTAATAATGACAGAAAAGGTCATCAATCTGTTTGTGGATGTTTGATTATTAAACGATAAAACTTGCATTGGAGATTAACGTGTGGGAATATTCTATATTCTAGGATAAACATTGAAGCCAGCAGAAAAGAATTATCGTCTTGTATATTGAATTGCTTTATTAACTGTACTAACGCTGACAGTGATGCTTGAATATATTGATCTCGGCTATATTATTTGAAGACTCCATTCGACAAGTCACCAAAACGATTTCCCGAATGCTACACCAACCATAAGAACTAAATGATAATCTGATAATAATAACATTATTGTCAAAATTTCCTAAGCCATTTAAGGATCGAGTTAGCCGCGAAGTACAATAAATCGAAGAAGTATCTCGTGTCTTCGGAAGAACTCCCACACAGACATCCAAAAACTTTCATTCAACATTATAAATACAGTTTAAATCCTGACATGCACTCTATGATATTTCGATCCAACAGTCTTCGATCGTTTGCCAGTTTTTAAAGAGTGATTCATCATCACCCATGCAGACCCAGCTCTGTTGGAGCAATTTTTATTGAGGTTGGAGCCTGTGATCGATATTTCGTTTAGAGATGGAAGATTTGACCTGGGATTTTTACTCTCAAAAGAAATAAGATAAGATAGCAATCATCATTTTAATGAGTATGATATTTGGTTTCTTGTTTTGAGAATTATATATTTATTTTTTTAGCTTTTTTTTCTCTATTGTGGCTTCATAAAATATGAATGTATATATGATACCACAAAACATTTAAAATTTAAAAGTATTTATCTATTTTATAAATTTCTTTTCTAAAAGACTGCAGAAATAAAGCAAAAATAAAATAATCTGGTAGTGTAATTTGTTGTTTTACTATTAAAAATTTTTATTCTTAATTCTAATCGCTTAGAATTTAGTATCCATTTGTTCAGAATTAGATTCTCTACAATTTTTCTAACGGACGATTTTCAATCCGACGTATTGTTTGTTAGAAAAGTGATTAAATATAAAAATTTAAATATTGTTATTATTTTAGCATAGTGTTCAGAATTATCCCACTATATCTAACTGGTGTTTATAATAGCCCCATATAGGGCTATTATGAACAAAAATGATTTTTTTACATTTTACTATTTTCGTCAGTATTACTTCAAAATAAAGAATTTTGACGAGTTAATCTTACCGATTGTACTATCAAAGATGCTCTTTCTAATTGTGTAAAAATTATTGATTAATCTTTTTCAAATGATGAGTTAAGTGATTTGGAATGAAGATCATTTTTTTCCAGCTATTTTAGCTGAGTGTTCATAATAGCCCCATACTATTTAGTATATGTTCATAATAGCTCCAAGCGGGGCTATTATGAACAAACGACGGAGCTTCTAGCAAAATAGGTGCTGAATGAATTCGGAAAGGTATTTTTCAAAAATTTTTAGATAGATGTGTAGAGAACACTTCAGGCTATCTATCAGTAGTTTTTTTTTCTGAAAAATAACAAAAAATGAAAAAGTTATAAGACTTTTAATTGCAATTTTCGAAAAGACGTTCAGAATAGTCCCAATCTACTCTACTGAAAATATGAAGAAAGAGAAAAAAATATTTATCAATGACTTTTTTCGACCATTCGTCGGCACTATGTATTTTTTCTCGTCAGGTCATCCATTCATTTTATTCAGTGACTGAAATAGACACAAACAGATATATATATATATATGCATCTTAATTAGAGTGTTTGTTGCAGTCAATATGCATCAGTCAAATGTTAATCTTCTTGATCTTTCTAATGAAATATTACTTAAAATTTTAAAAATTCTTAACAATATAGATATTCTCTATTCATTATTCGATATTGATAATCAACGACTTGATATGATATTACAAGAAAAAACTTTTACCACAAGTCTCAATTTCGTATTAACAACATCATATGATAGTGTTTCGTCGATTGCTGATTCAATAATTGATCGGTTTTGCATTAGTATACTTCCAAAAATTAATTACGATATTAAATCACTTACTCTCGAATCAAAATCTATGGAACGTATTCTTCGTGTTGCTGATTATCCTAATCTAACTGAACTTAAACTTTATAATGTTAACAATCATATTATTTCACAATATTTTACAAGTAAGAAATTTAAATACAAATCTTATATACAGTAAATAATAACTGATTATTCTTTCATTAGATTTTAGTCATGTTACAGACTTGATGGTACATGATATAATACCATTCGCACATGAATTTTTTCTTCGAATCGCACGCTTTTTTCCTTTCCTTAAAAAATTAAGTGTTATTAATTTTGAACCACAATCAAGGATGTACGACTATTGGAATATTGACAATAATCCATTGTATTCAATTGTTGAATATCCAAATCTAATTTCACTTGATCTACGGTCGAGTTATGCTCATTATGTCGAACAGTTTCTCGATCAGGAAAGAACACATCTACCACGTCTAACCAAATTAGCAGTCAATTATAATGGATTAGAAATGGTAACATTCCGCTTTACACGCGATGCAAGACGATGCAATTGTACTCAAGTGAAAGAATTACTTTTTGAAAGAGCATTAGTACATACAAAACATTTCTATGATTATTTTCCTCTCTTGTAATCTTGTTTTTCTTGTCATTAGACTGATAGAATAAATGATAAAAGACTTTCAATAATAATTTGTTTTACATTTGGATAACAATAAATAATATCTGTTAGAGATTATAAATTACTGCTAAAAGTATGTTTTCAAAGATTTGTCCAATTCTTATGCGTTTTGAACTGATCTTGCAGATATAAGGTGAAAAATTAGTTTTGAAAATAAAAAACGAGATTATATAAATAACTGAGTGATCAGAATTGAACCGAATTTAACTTGATCGAAATAAGACACATTTTACACAGGATATTGAATAATAACAAAACTATGCCTTGCTTGTAAATTTCCTCGTGAGTGTGACTGTAGGATTTCTGCATTCTTCAACGAAATCCACACTCTACAAGTAATGCACCAATGTTTGTCTGATTTAATTTAAATACCGGGTGAGTCATAATGATTGCAACATCCAGTATTTTGCGAATATCCCAACATAGGTAAATCGTATAACTTTGATCTTTTTGTCAAAAGATGCGCCGTGAAAAGCTCTACAAAAATTGTAAGAACAAATTCTTATTGACTTGTTCTGATGGTGTCTTCTATACTCTAAATGAACGGGTGACATGATGGTGTTATGTCCCACTGTATTAAATATTTGGAAGACACTTTTTGTTTTTTAATAGAAAGTTGTTCATATAACTTTTCTAGAGCTTTCGACGGCGCATCTTCTGAAAAAATAACCAAGCCGTTATCATTTCTCCAAGCCGAGATATTTGCAAAATAAAATAAGTCTTCCAAAGATTTTTATCATGCTGAATACCGTGGAACGTAGCACCACCATGCGACCTTTTCATTTTGAGTATAGAAAATACCATCCGAAAAAGTCAATAGGAATTTGTTCCTACAATTTTTGTAGAGCTTTTCACGGCGCATCTTTTAACAAAAAGATCAAGATTATACGATTTATCTGTGTTGAGTTATTTGTAGAATACTAGATACCACAAACATTATGACTCACCTATTTTATGTTGCAAATATCTCGGCTTGGAGAAATGATAATGCCTTGGTTTCTTTTCAGAAGATGCGCCGTCGAAAGCTTTACAAAAGTTATATGAACAACTTTCTATTGAAAAACAAAAAGTGTCTTCCAAATATTTTTATTATGCTCAATACAGTGGGACATGACACCATCATGTCACCTGTTCATTTTGAGTATAGAAGACACCATCAGAACAAGTTAATAAGAATTTGTTCTTACAATTTCTGTAGAGCTTTTCACGGCGCATCTTTTGACAAAAAGATCAAAGTTATACGATTTATCTATTTTGAGATATTCGTAAGATAATGGGTGTTGCAATCATTATGACTCATCCGGTATATGTAGTAGTAGATTACTCATACGAAGAAGTATTTCAATGAAATTTTCTTTTCTTTGTCTTACAGTAATGCATTGTCTCTACTGAATAGTTGGAAAAAATTATTTGTTGTTTGATACTAGGACAATTCGTCGTAAGTTCAGTAAATTGAAATGCTATTTATTAATATAATGATATACGAATGAGTAACTTTTATCTTCTAATTTCTTTTCGTTATCAAATAATCAAGAAAAACATAACATCTAACAAGAAAATCATTACAATGAACAAACTAAACCCATTCTCATGTTTTGAAACTTATATTTTACCTTTGCTTAAATAAAATTATACTGTCGCTATTTTTAGATCCAATCAATAAACATTGTGTTGATAATTTAAATAACACCGAACGATGAAACAATTATACTATAGCCACCACTAAATGAAGCATCAAAATCAATTGAGTAATTTAAAAACAATGTATATTATGTCTGATTACTTTTGTTTTAGTCAATTTTGAACTGAAAACAGTGGCGATAGTGGTTGCTGGGCTCGTTACGGAATGCGTTTTCATGAAGTACAAATTTAAATAAAAATTAATTAACTTATGATCCACTTATTAGAAATCTCGAGTATGAATCACCATGATCATATAAAGCTCGACGTGAACATGACACATTATTATTCAAGTTGAAGACAGTCATATTATTTGGTTTTTTTATTTTAGATTACATATATTTTCTTTTTGTTTTTTTCTGTTAAAATTGAACCAAGTCTTTATGCTATATTCTTTGGAGCAGTGTATTTACAGAAAGATATCCTGATTTAAAAATTTACATGCTTTATTAAGAACAACATATGATTTGTTCAAATAGCTCTAAATTTCAAGTAATCAGATTTGAACTTAACAATGTTACAAATTTAGGTCACGGTATTGATGAATTTATTGAACAAAGTGTTTGTAATCAATTTGTCTACATTTTTTATTTAATTGTTGTACTGATACCAATGTTACTTGATAATTTTCTCTATGAATAAAAGTAAAATATATCTGTATCGTGGTAGCTTTGCTGATCCTTACCCTCAACAGCATATTTAGTTAAAGATTAACATAAAAGATAATTTTGATCACAGTTTGTCAAAGCATAGAATTATAAGCACAAAGCATACTAACAACATAAAAGCAAGTGAAACAGATTTGTTTTATGTTCTCGATATGAATAATTCTATGAAAAGTCATTTAATGCGAAATCGTTGAACGCGATTGTTACCATAGTCAGCAACATAGAGTTTGACCGTCTTGCGTAATCCAAATCCCACCAGGATCATTCAATTGGTTCAAACCTGTTCCTGCAATAGTGTTACGTGCTACTGTAGGGTGGGTGTGGGTGGGTGGGTGTGGGTGGGTGTGGGGTGGGTGGGTGTGGGTGTGGGTGGGTGTGGGTGTGGGTGTGGGTGTGGGTGTGGGTGTGGGTGTGGGTGAATACAGAAAACATTAGTACTCACACCCCTATTTTGAGTATTTTTCCCAGCTCTGATTCAGGATGAAGAACGCATGCGACTCGGACAATTCAGATCGTACCCTATCTAATAGAATCTCTAAAGGTGTGTTCAGCTTTTTAAATAGTCTTTTGAATATATATAATTATACATCCAATTATACATATATATGTGTCAGGCAAAATTGAGCTTTAGGCAAAATTAAACATAATTCTTAAAAGATTTTCAAATTTAAAACAATTCAAAAAAAAGAATAAATAATTGATTTTCTATATTTAAATTAAGTTCAGCCCTAGTTAAATTTAAATTTATCTAAATTTTCAAACTTAACAGTTTACTCCACGTTTTTAATGCAAATGTAGACAATATTTTGTAAGATATAGAGTTCGCCACGTCTTTCTATGCAAATCTAAATAAAATATAGGAAGGTGTAGAGTTTGCTACTGTATTCTATTAAAATTTAATTGATTTTAGAAATTTTTAGAATTGGTCAGTATAGTCTGTCGAAATCCCGTTGAGTTTTGAAAGGCGAGAAATTCGAAAGATTAGACAATATATATTGTTTGAATAGCAGTCAATTATAGTCTTTCAGCGAAGTTATTGATATTCTTTTCACTCTTTTAATAATTTATTGTCGTTGAGTTTTTTATATCAACTATTTGTTTTGATTCTGATTTTTATTAACAAGATCTGTTTATTCACAGAAAACTCGATAAACAGACTTATGTGGACATTGTCTTTCTTACGATTCAATATAAAATGCTATCAACAAAAACTGTGATAAATATTAATCTCTCGGACAGTCATTTATATATGATCACCGTAAGAATAGCGGATAACATATAATGAATCACATAGATGATTCAATAATCAATCATAATATGCCTGAAACATGTTGCTATGGATTAATAGAGTTCTTTTGTTGATAAATAGCACAATATTTACATCTAAACTTTGATCATTCAATCAAAAAAACAGCTATTCTAGTTACGCTAGCAGAAAACGCCTACCCGACCAAAAAAAGAAAAAAAAAGGAGGAGGACTAAGATTATGTTTATTTCAATCCTTTTTCACATCTTTGTTCATATACTTCAAGGGTAAAGTTCTGTTTATTCTATATGTTTAGAATATTAATGTGAAAGATAGATGTTAAAATGTTCAAAAACGAACTTGTTGGCAATATTGATAATATTGGTTTTTGTAATATTTTCTTTTTCGACATGAAAGACAAAGTATTATAAAGATTTTTAAAAGACATCGATTATACTTCTTATAGTTCATCGATAAACTATCTAGACATTTATCGCATCATGCATTAGTCGTGTGGGGAAAAAAAAGAAAATTTGTCAACGAATAACTTTTTAATCTCTTATGATACTGGAGAAAAAAGTGTAGCTGTTTAATGAAATATTCAGCTACTCCTGTCTTCTAACTGATATATTTCGAGCAAGGACCAAAAATGACAAAAATTCGTCAACTAATATCCTTTTGATCTCTAATAATATTGATGAAATAACCATAACTGTTCTATGATTACTCAGCCAGCCATTTATTGTAACTGATCTATTTCGAGCAAGGGCCGAAAAAAAAAGAAAATTCGTCAACTAATAACCTTTTAATTTCTAACAACATTAAAGAAATAAGCGTAGTTTTTTTAATAAATACTCAGGTACTCATTCACTCTAATCGTTTTATTTCGAACAAGGATCATTTCAAGAATTGAATTCTTTTACCTGCTTGTAATAAGTTATCAAATCAATTAAGATATGTATGAAAATGTTTAAATAAGTACAATGATTTTTATGTAGCGGTAGACCTTCAATTGCTGATTATAAAAAGAAGTCCAACACGAAATTTTGTTAGAAGTCAATTAGATACTTAAATCATATAATAGCTGTATATATTTTTTTTCCAAATAAGCTCTTTTAAAAAGTTATCATAATGTTTAAATTGTGACATGAAGTACTGCTGCAAACGAAAGGTTGTTACAAAACAATTAGCTACTTAATCATCAAGTAGCTGTATATTATTCGAAAAAGTATTTCGTTTGAGAAGCTACGGTTTCAACATGATTATATTTCTAAGCATTCTTCATCGCTTCAAATAGTAGCATCGGTTAATCAATTTTTGCA